CCTGAAAAAGCTAGCCACACTGCTTTTTAAACTCAGTGTATCAGTTTTCCAAAGAAGAAGCATATTCTTTGTTCCTTAAAATTACATGTATCAAGCTGGATAAATCAAAAGCAGCTTCTCCCCAGACTGAACCCTCAGTTTACATCAGACCTCTATGAAAGTTTATGGATGATGGTCACAATAAAAACTTTGTGGATGATGTAGTGCGGTCTTTACCTCTGGATTTTTAAAACAATTCCAATCTCTACAACCTCTCTTCATAAGACATCAAGATTTTCCTGTTTTACAATTTGCCTCTCTCCATCTGGCCTACAATGAGCCTTGTCTCATAAGCAACAAAGACAGCTACTGATGCATATGAGGTGCACTCTCCTGGCAGCGGCATATCCATATAAAAGGCTCCCCAAAGTCAGCATTTTAAAAAGGCAGCCAAGACCTGCTAGCAAAAGCTCAGTTAACAGGAGCAAGTCTAACTAGTTAAAAGTCTGATCAGTTAAAAATCTTCTTTCAAATGCTCTATTCCTGGGAGTCTGTGCCAAAGCCCACTAGCTCAGACAAGGTATGTCTTCCTTATAAAGTAGAAAGCACATAAAACAGTGTTGGCTTTTTCCTAAGTGGTGTTCTTAGCAGGGAACATCATGCTCACCTTCCTAGATGGAAGAAAGGAAGCTGACTCATCAAAGTTTAATTACTGCCCAAAGAATACAAAAACACTCATTCAAAGGCATATGTGTAATCCTTATATTTATTGTAGCCCGGCTTACAATAGCTAAGTTATAGAAATAGCTTAAGTACCCAAGGACAGAGGAGTGGATCAGAGAAGTATGGTAAATAGTGGAATACTTACTCAGATATGAAAAAACAAAAAGAGTGAACTCCTGTCATTTGCAACAACATGCATGACCCTGGAGATGATATGCTAAGCAAAATAAGTCACAAAGAGAGAGAGAAATATAGGATGACTCCATTTATATGTGGTATATAGAGAAACATATTAAAGGGTCGGAGACACCAAACCAATAATAAATTCTTTAACATCTGACAGCAAAACTGAGGCAGTGAGAGGAGGTAAAGGGCCAGACAGAGAGAAAGAGAAGAGGCCCAGTGGAACATGGTGGAGGACTGTTGGGACATTGGTGGTGGGCAAGGTGTGAAAGCAAACATTTGTATACTATACCATTTGCACCATTGTATTTGAACTATACCCCCCAGATCAGATACAAAGATCTATCTGTTGTGCCAGAATGGGGCGCACTACCCGAAAAAGCTAGCCATACTGCTGTTAAAAGACAAAAGGACACTTTATTGCAAGCTCGTGCTCGGACCCAACCACACACCAGAGCATCTGCATGGCAGGAAGGGTCCTGAGCACTGGGGTGCAGAATCTTGTATGGTCCCCGGGGGCAGTCTCGGGTGCAACACAGGTCGCTGTCTGATTGGTTGACCCTCTCAGCCCTCCATATCTGGTACAGAAAGTTTGTCTCGGCCCATGATTGGGTGGCGGGTATGGTCTGAGCTTGCGTCAGGGTGGCCTACTGATGTGCCATTTGAACTCTCCCCCCTGATGGGGAAACAGAGACTGAAGCATAAGATGGCGGTGGCAGGCTCAAATGGAGTGTGTCAGGTTTTTCAATATCTACTTTGCCTCAATAAAAATAATTTGAAAAATATAATAAATAAACTGGACATAGAGTTGTAACACACAAAAGAGGCCTATACACTTCAAAGTGTGCCGAGGCAGGGAAGCACTGCCCAGTACCACCAAGAAAGGAGAATCCAAGGGTCGGCTCTTGCAGGGTCATCCAGATTCCAAGAATGTCCAAGGGGATCACTGTCCAAAGACACTAAACTCTGAGCATTACTCATGGCACTCTCCTCACAACTAGGGTCCCACCTGCCACAACCTGCCAGGAGAAGGCCATGATAGGCGTGTTTCTTTATCTTTCAGCCACTGCCCTATCTCCCTGCAGCTCCTCTCCCACACAACTAGTCCTCACGTGCCTAGATCTCCCCACACAGAGACCTCAAAATCTGAGCTGTTGAGGTGTCCAGGTTTTCCCATGATCATCTCAGCACAGAAAGTGAGAACCCACTGTTGACTGAACTGTTACCCGGGGTCTGGGAGTAATGGGCATCCCAGGAGCCCCCAGATAGCACTACAGCATATCCCACTGTCATCCTCATATTCAGTCTATTGCCACAAACTGAAAAGTCTTTCCAAAGTCTATTCAATTGATTATAGTGCTGGGCAAAGTCACATGTTCATTCCCTGTTCTGGTCAAGTCAGCCTGGGTAAAGGAAGCTGCCGTGCAAGGGCAAAAGAACAGACTAGAAATGCTAAGGGCTGACTCTGGGGCTCACCTCTATTAGCCAATACTACTATGAAGTTCCCTGTTTTAAATTAAAAGAGGTAACTTCCCAGAACCTGTGGGCAGAAACTATCTTACTGGTTCAGATCCAAAGACAGCTATAGCAGTGCGGTCTCCTAGTAGCTGCATGAGGGAAGCTCTCAACGCTTTGTTTCCTTGACTGTAAAATGGAAACAAGAAGTACCTGCCTACCAGGTAGACTGCGCTGAAAGCCACAAGTCAACCCGTGAGGAAGCACTCATTCTGCAGTCATATGTCTCCATACAGGGACAGGGCACACCCACAAGGATACTTCCAACAAATTCAGCTCAGAACGCAGAGGCTTTGTTAAATATTGCAGTGGGTTCTAGTAAGACCTGCTCTAATGTTTTCCCTCGAAGATTAACTCTCATCTGTATGAGAGGCATATGACAAACTGCTGAGCTATTAAGAGCAACAGGAGAAAGATGTAGGACACATCTGGATGGTAAGACTAAAAAAGGCTTTTAAGGGTAATGTATAAAATTATGCATTTACAAATATAACAATAAAAGTACATGTATATTCCATCATTCATTATCCCTATTACAGATATACATATGATCTATAAGATGATGTATATATTATGTGTGCCTATGTATACTTGCATGTGATATATAATGCATAATCTACATATTTTATATACCTATACATATATATAAGTAGAGAGAGAGAAAATGGTTTCCATGGTAGAACAAGGGAAGCAAGTAGGAAAGATCCGTATAGGCTGAGGCAACAGAACAAGGAAGCACAAGAAGATGTGGGGAGGACAGGACAAGACACAGCCAAAGGTGAGCTCCTCTGGCCATGCCCAAAAGTGGCAACAATCCGAGTCTCCTCCCTTGTTCCAAGGGCACGAGCTATGAGCTAGCTATGTCTACAGGGATCTATTAGTGCTAGAAGAGGACAGAAGAAACCTCAGCACCCCCGTAAGGCTATTCTGTGAGAACCCTGAGAGAATACCATCTGCGGCTCGCTTCTACAGGTTGGGTAGGATATTGGTCATGTAAGGTGAAGACAGTCATTCACGCACTAGTCTAAGATACATTAGACAGCAGTTTGAGGCCCTCAGGACTGAAATCCCTATAATAAAAACAAGGGCAAGCAGAGTAAAGTATTTACTGGTGCCCAGACACAATTAGGAGAGCTCAGTTCATCCACATTACAACTCTATAAAGAATTTATTGTTTACTTTACCCAAATAAAAGCAGCTCCCAGTTTATAAGGGGTTAAGTAAGGGTTCATCTCCTGATGATCAGATGGCAGAGTCCATATTCACAACCACTCTGGGTGGTGAGTTTTATTAAGTATTTTTTTCAGTATAACAACCTAGCAGAACATGAACTTTCTCGTGGCTCTACACCCCCAGCACTTTCAGGCCTTGCTACCCTGAGCATATACACTGGAGAGCTACTCACTCTTTTGTCTAACATGTATGTAAATGTATGTTCTGTTTTGGCCAGAATAAAATTCAGAACACAGCAAAGAATCTCACTCCAGGGTGATAAAAGAAAACAGCTACAGCTAAAATCAACAAAAAAAGGAGTTTATAAGTTTGTTTCTTATTAAAAACTCTGAGAAAATTTTAAGCTTCCTAAACTTTCTTTTCCTTATCTGTCAAATTGTAACAGGATGGTCCCTAGGAAAAGGGGAAGTTCCAGGTTCCCTGCCCCACCCAGAATGAGGGTGGAGCTGAGCACAGAAAAGAAGAGAAGGAATCTGAGGAAGAAGGAAGCAGGATGGAGAGACAGAAGGAGATCTGAGGAATCCACATAGAGCAGCAAGCATGTGATGAAGAAACCGTGCTTGTTTCTTCTTGACCTTGGACCAGTTAAGGCAGATGTGGGTGAGAGACCCATGGGGAGGTGACTATTACAGTGTTTATATTGATTTTGATTGTGCTCTTTTCCTCCCAGACTTCTCTGGCCATTTCTGCCCCTTTTCGATGGGTCCCGGCCAGAAGGTGCTTTAGTCTCGTGGTGGGCTTTCAGGCCTTGCTTTGGACCAGTCCCTTTGGGGTGAACTTTTGCCCATGAGGGGGTGAGTAACTTCAGGTATCTGATTTAGGAATTATTCTCTCTCTCTCTTCACCCCCCGCCCCCTGGGGTGGTTTCCTGTTCCTTTCCCCTTTTTGTAAATAAACTCATTTTGACCCTTTTGTGTGTGCCTGCAGTATAACTAAATTTTAAGTGCACGGGTGAGGCCCCATCAACAGGCGGCCCAGTTCACTCTTGACTGCCCTATAACATGTCTACACGAGCATCCTCAACAAAGATTGATGTTAACATCTCTAACTAATTGAGCTCCGATAGATCCCAAAGGAAGAAAAAATGTCCCTGAGGGTGTTTGGAAATGGAAGGGCACATATTAGACAGTGAGACTGGAAATTAGTGAGTTGGATGGTCAGGACAAAAAATACCTTGCAAAGCTCAAGACTGCCCACACAATGAAGAACTTCCCATTCAGAATACCAATGGTGCTTCAATTGAAAAAAATATATACAACTGCTTGGAAAATATTTAAAAAGGAGGGACAATGGACACCAACAACCAACAATGCTATAACAGGTCAAATTGATGATCCGTGCAAAATTAGTTAGGAAATCACTGATACCTCCTTGTGGTTTCAGGTGGTTCTGCACGAAGTGGGATCTGACTGGCTAAGGCCAGGGTGTCCTGCAAGGCCTTGCTGACCTCCTGCAGCTCACCCAGGGACAGCCTGCCCACCAGCGGGGTCAAGTCACAGCCCTGCCATGGAAGAAGCTGCTCCAGCTCTTCTATCTGCTTCCTCAGCTGGTGATCTTTTGCTTCCAGCACAGACATTCTTGCTTGGAGGACTTCAATTTCTTTCTGCAAAGAATGGAGAGACCAGATCTTATGAATTAACCCTGCTTGTGGCAAGCATCTCTGCTAATAATGAGTCGCTTAAGTGAGAGTCAGCCATATGCATGAGAACCGAGAATTTCTCCGTCTAAAGCAGGCAGATTTTTGGAAGACTTGCTAAACCGGAAAAATCATGCCATCTTTATATTTCTGATTATTTGGCAAAAGAAAAAACATCTTCTCCCAACTATTAAATAACTATGGAGAGGTAGCCAAGAATATTACTTGGAAAACCCAGCAGATATATAAACGATTCAGTCCATTTCAGGTGGAAGGGCAGCAAGCATGGGTGTGTGTGAGATAGGAGCTAGCAGGAAACACTAGCCACAGACCAAAAAATAAAAGGACAGATAATCCTAAATGAAAACATAGTATATAAAGATTACAAAAAACATAGCTTCTTAGTAGAATATAAAGATTACCAAAAAAAACATAGCTTCTTAAGTCTATAGGATTAAAAGAACAAAGAGATGCTGTAGATAGTGCTATGCTATCTGCCCTATGATGCAGTTCATAAAAATACTAAATAAATTTAATGGACAAGAATACAGCAAACCAAACTCCAAAGAATCTACACAGTATCATCCAATCTTAAGTCAATTAATAAAATAAGCAGCAGGTAACTGCATACACATTGTGGTTATGGTGCCAAAGCAGGTTACCCTCAGACTGGACTGCCCATAGGGCTCTGAATTTAAAATGAGACTCTTAATTAACATCCTCTGGTGTTGCATGCATCAGTTTTCTGGCTAATGAGAGCACAGTTCTAATCCTGGGAGTCTCCCTAACTTTATCTGTGTTCTCTCAACCCCAAGGTGTAAATGACCTACAACTTTTATCCACTGACCCTATTTTCAGCAGAGGAGAGAGTGAGAAGATGCTGCAGATCCACAGCTAAGACACTCTACAGAGAAAACATCTGTGTCCCTCACAGGTCCAAGCTTGCAGTATTGCTGACACTGTCTCCCAACAAACTGCCCTGCTGCCACCTTTGACTTTCCTCCCAGAAAATAAACTCCACAGGCATCCTTGTGATTTCAAACAGCATCTGGCACATAGTAGGCAATTAATAAACACCCACTGAATAAATGACTAGCTTTCCCAGAGTTCTACCAAGAACATATCCTTCAAACACTAAGTACCCTGGGCTAAAATTATTTTCTGTACACTCTGAGCTCATCAGCAATAGTGTAGATTTTCATTGGTGACTACTATTTAAAACCAAAAATGAGGTTTCATATTTTCATTTCTCTAAACCTTACAACAATGTTCACCCAATGTGTTCAATCTGTTAAAAAATAACAGTACACTTCCAAACTTATGTGGCTTTTGCTTCCTTTTGTCACCTTGATATTGTAAGAACTTGGCTGGAAAAACTCAGAAGAAAAGTATTCAAGGGGGTGAAGGGGTGGTGAAGATAAAGGAGCAGGGTTCCAAGCCCCCATGAATTTGCCAAGCTTATTCAACTGTTTAGAGCTTTTGCCAGGATTTCAACTCAGTCTGAAAGTCCTCAGCTCTTTCTGAAGTCACACTGCCTCTCACACCTGGCTCCCTGTTCCTTCCTCAAAGCTTCCAGACTCAAGCAAGTGTGGACGCACTTCAAGGCTTTCTGCCTGTAGGTTCTCTGTCAACTCTCAGCACCCCTGAATGTCTCCTGGCTGTAGCTCAGAGCTACATCAGGATTTCAAGGCCCTGACAATTCTTGAGCAACCTTTGTCCACACTTTTATCCAAAGCTCTGTGCCAAGCCCACATGCCTAGCCCAGTCCGTCTTTACAGCTCTGCCTCCCTTCAACGGCTGTCCTAACTTGATAGGGATTCCCATAAAGGACTTCGCGGCACCGATTTCTTTCTGTCTCCCAAAAAAACTTCTAAAGGTCAAAATGATGAAAGGTGACAAATTGGCCTGGCAGACAAGGAAAACGTGTTCCAGAGGTAATGAGGAATATCTGAAACAGATCAGCGCTGCTGAGCTTTCAAGCCCTCATTCGTAATGAGATTCCTACAAGCCCTCTGGTTATCTCCACCCATCTCTCCCCTCTGTACTTCACGGGTGGATGGCCAGGCTTCTAATTGCCACACTCCAGCAAAGCAAAACCCACTTTGCTGCATTTGGCTTACGTGAGTAAGGGTGAAACTGCTGTCCTATTTGTAGAATATTCTTCACCTGCATACCTGCAATTGCTGCTTTTCTTGAAGAAGCCAATCTCGTCTGGAGATAGACGCATGCAGGTTGTCCTGAGCATTGGGCTCCAATGGCTTCAGCTCCATTCTGAGTGTGGTTTGGGAGCCATCATTGCCGACCCTTAAAACATAAAAAGTAAGTATTGGTGTAGACATGGAGAGCTGAAATCCTCAGGTTTCCAAGAATGTTGAGAAAGAACTCTCACAAATGGCCCCTGGGTGGGCTCACCCTTAGGAGGATCACAGGGGTGAAGTCCCTAATGCAAGTTTTTGTTTTAATTACACTCTATCAGGCTTTGCTTCTTCCCAAGGCCAACCCCCTAATACTGGATCTGCACTGCACCACAGCCAGCAGCCACACACATTGCTGAAAGGGCAAAAAACACCCAGACCAGAGAGGCTGAGTCTGAAAACAGAGTGCAAAACAGCTCCTCAGTGACATCGCCGTATCTGTGCCCTGTTGGAATGATCCCACTTTTGATAGATTGTGTTCTATTAAATATGTATTTTTAATTAATTTCAATGCTTTTTTTTCTTTATTTTAATGTGGCTACTAGATCATTTAAAGTTGTGTGTGGTTTATCAGTGATTAAGGACTGATCACAAAAATATACAGAGAACTGATGAAACTCAACAAAAATAAACAACCCCATCAAAAAATGGGCAGAAGAGCTAAAAAGATACTTCTCCAAAGAGGAAATGCAGATGGCCAACAAGCATATGAAAAAATGTTCAACATCACTCATAATAAGGGAGATGCAAATTAAAACCACA